GCGCATCAGGCTCACTGTCCCTGTCCCACCGCATGCCTGCTGCTGCTCTCCCGCCCTGCTGCCACCACAGGTCCTCCTCATTCACTACCACCACGCATGGCATCCCCTCCCTACCCCCTTCTTCATCCCCTCCCTCTCCCACACCACATCTCCCTCCCGCCTCCTCCCTGGATTCCCCGCCCGTCTGACCACACAAGCCACTCACTCCGCACTCCACGTATCTCATCTCACCCGTCCCCCCCTGTTCCCTCGCTGCATCCTCGCAGCTCCACTCAGCTCTGCCTGCCCCCTCCTCGGCAGCACGGGCGTCAGCGCCTTGCAAGCGATCCAGAGAGTGGGGCAGCACGTGCACGTGAGCTCCTAGACTCGCCAGCATGAGCGCCGTGAGCTGCCCAGGGGGCGGCAAGCAGATTCGCAAAGATTGGGGGGCACAAATTGGGTGCTTGCACTGGGCAAAGGCGCAACAGCAGGAGAATGGTCCTGGGACACGGGAGTTTAAGGCGCTTCTAGGTGTGCTTGAATGGCGCAGGTCGCCTTTAAGAAAGGGAATGGCAGCAGGAAGGAGGTCATGCCATGCTTCACGCTTGAGGTCACTAGAGAGAAGCAGTAAAGAAGACGAGTGACATGATGGCCCCTGTGAACCCCTCCATCGTTTTCCCATCAATCGCCCCTCTCCTCCACACCCACAAGCATATGGGCCCAATCCCCCCAGCAGCCTCACCTCTCTCGTGCTGCCTTCCGGCCCCACCACGCCCACAGCCACTCTTAATGCGCTCCTCGTGCACCCCGCATGCTCCTCCTCTTCCCCCCTGCACGGTTTCCCCTCCCCCATGCCCTGCATGCCCAAGCGCCGTGCATCCAACCCCTGCCTCCCCCTGCCTGTACACCCTCGCAGCCAGCTCCCCTCCTTCAAACTGCTGCAGCATCCCCCATTACCCCCCCACCACGCGCCACATCCCCATCCCTCCCCTGTCGACCTCTCATCCTCCTCTTCTGTCTTGCCCCCTTCTCGCCCGTCTGCCCTTCCCGCATGGTGAGTGTGAGGGGCAGCAGCAGGAGGGGGAGCAGGGGAGCGGCGGGTTTGGGCGAAGGGGACGGAGAAAGCGACGGTGGAGCCGGTGCCGGGGTGGGAGAGGCAGGCAACGCGGCCGCCCATGAGGGCCACCTGGGGGGATAATGGGGGGGGGTTGGCGGAAGGGGGCATGGCGGGGGAAGGGAGCATGGCGGGGGCGGATGGGCGGAAGGAGGGGAATGTCATAGGGGAAGGAGGGATGGGGAAGAGGAGGAGGGATGGAGCGGGAAAAGGGGGATGGAGAGGGGGAAGGGGGATGGAGGGAGGGACGGGGATAGGGGATGGAGGGTTGAGGGGGGATGGAGGAGTGGAGAGGGGGGTAAGAGAAGTGGGAAGGCAGAATGGAGGAGGAGGGAGGGAGGGGTGGAGGAAGGAGAAAGGAGCGATAGAGGACGGGGGAACGGGGGATGGAGGAGGGAGGAAGAGATGATGGAAAGGGGTGAAAAAGGGGATGGAGGAGGAGGGAAGATGGGATGGGGGAAGGGGGAAGGGTGGAGATGGAGGAGGGGGGAAGGGGAAATGGAGGAGTTGGGAAGGGCGGATGGAAGGGAGGTGTTTGCTCTTTGCTCATTTGGTCGAGATGGAGATATCTAGAAAAGTCAGGAGCAAGAATGGAGTAAGCATGAAGCGACGAGAGGGGATAGGACGAGACTCGGTGAGGGAGGAGCACAGGGGGGGGACTCACCAGCTGGTGCACGAGCACAAGCCCCAGGCCCGCTCCTCCACTCTCCGATCGCCCCTGCAGCGAACCAAACACAGATAAGGAGATGAATCATGAGACCTGAGTACCGACTCACACCACTCCCCTACGGAGATGCACGTTTGCCTGATATGATTTGATGAGATTCTCAACGATTCCATCGTCACAGTGTGCGGTTTAAGAGGCTCTACCTTGAACTCTGACACCTCCTCTTTTGTCGAGTCAAACCCACAGCCCGTGTCGGCACACGACAGCACCAGCTGCATCTCCTCACCCCCACTGCTCCACCCAGCGTCGTCTCCTCCTCCATCTCCCATCGTCTCCCCCACTTGCTCTTTGTCTCCCGGAACAGCTGACTGTGGGGGGTCCTCATCCCCCTCGCCCTCATCTAGTGGCCCCTTCTCCTCCCAGCAAGCTGCAGCAGCTCCACTGAAGAGAAGACTCAGCTGCGTGCGCAGGCAGGCCGCCCAGGAGAAGAACGAGTGGCGAGGGGGTGGAGGAGGGGGGTGGAGCGGGGTATCTGATATGCATGTACGGGAAGTGGGGAACGTGGACACCAGAGAGTTGTGAGGAGAGGAAAGGGGGATTGAGGGGAGAGAGGGAGGGAGCAAAGTGTCAAACGGTAGAACAAGGATTTCCAGCAAAGAAGACCACTCAGCCAGATAAAGAAAGTGATAGAAATAGGCTGTCAACCTTTTGTGTACTATATTTTATATCTCGTATGTTATTTGAAGGTTGGATGTAGATGTTTAATCCCAACCCTATCTGGTTGGGATTCCCGCGTAATCCAACAAATCTGCCAACTCACCATTGGAGATTTGCTTGGACTTCCATCCTGTCCATCCCCTAGCTTTGCTCAACCCAAACTTGCTTGCACTTAAGGCCTAGGGCCTTCTTTCTTAATCATCTATTGAAGCTCCATTTCTAACACAAAGGTCGATGCAGGATGAGTGGAGTGATTGGGGTGAGTGGAGGGAGTGGAGCGAGAAGGTCGAATAGGGAAAGTGGAACGAATGGTGGGCAGGGCGGCACTGACAGAGGTGGTGGTGGAGAAAGTCCCTCGAGGGAGGTGGTGGCAGGGAACACGTACGCTCGCACCAGCACGTGCCCACGGGTCGTGTAGCACATGGCGTTGTCTGCCCATTGTAAGAGGGTTGAAAAGATGGGACAGTTCGTCATGCAACAACATAAGAGTGTGACAAACGCTGATTCATTACATGAAAGCTTTCATTTTCACCTTATGGTTGGGACTAAGTGCTATTAATACTTTACCTTATGTCTAGTAGTACCGTAAGTGTAAGTGGGTTACTTCACCTTGTATTCTGTACCAAGTATAACTACGTTGATTAACCTTCTGCTTCGTACAAAGTGTCAATATATTTTAACCTTATTATTCAACATTATCCCCGTTAATACGTGTATGTGTGTTAATTAACTCTATGTCTGGTAGCGAGTGTAAGTACATTATTAAGTGAAACTGCATATCTTAAATTTATTATCAATATCAAGTGTAAGTATATTACTTAACCTCATATTTGGTACATGTGTGCAAAAACGGGGACGGAGAGAGAGCTTTGGGAGTGAGAGTTGCATTGTGGTGGTGGACTGACCTATGAGTTCTTTGAGCGCCTGAGTGAGTCGCATGGTGTCCATATGCAGCAATGCAGGCACTCCCGTATCCACCATGCCCGCCACTGCCACAGCCACAGTCACAGTACAACCACACCACCGTCAGCCACCTCGAAGGAGGGTGACATTGTGAGTCGAGTCCACAAAACATGCCACCCACCCTCTGGTGCAGCTATGTCAGTGACAATCAGAGCAAGGCCCCTCCAGCAAAGCACATTTAGTCAGATGCCCACGAGGAGTATACGACCAAGGAAAATGCACCTCTTGAATGGCACCCACACATGGGGTACACACAACACAGACATACACACACACACACACACACACACACACACGCACACACACACACACACACACACACACACCTGTCAAGCTTGCTCTCAACGCACTCAAACCCAATCCCCAGCCCCACCAGCTCCCGCTCCCCTCCTCCCCCCTCCCCACGCACTCACCCTCGATGCCCTTCTCCCCGGCCCGCTCACAGTAGCCCAGCACGACCTCCTCCAGCCACGCGCGCGGCTCAAAGTGCGAGCAGCAGAGCGCCATGCGGCGCGCCTCGAGCTTGGAGAGGTCGAGCACGCGGTTGACGAGGCGCACCGTGTCGTACGCTGCAGTGCGTGCCGCCCGCACGTCGTGCAGCTGGGCGGCAGAGAGGCGGCGGTCCTCGAGAGCATCGAGCAGCCCCACGATGCCGAGCATGGGCGTGCGCAGCTCGTGCGACATGGACGCCACAAACGAGCTCTTCGACCGCTCCGCTGCCCTCGCCTTCGCTCTCAACTGGTCCGCCGCTGCCATGCTCTCCTCGCTGCGCACGTACCCCACCCGCTGCTGCCACGCCACCCCCGCCACGAGGGCAGTCACCACGAGAGCAAGCGACGCCCACAGGACGGGCACTCCCCAGGAGAGCCATGTGTTTGGTGCCTCCACGTAGCTGGGGGGGTGCACACGAAGCAAGAAGCATTGGGGTTGAGGAGCCACCAATGACTGTCATGCAACGGTGATTAAAGAGGTGCATTGAGGGAGGGAGGAGCCCTTCGGCAGAATGGTTATGGGGAAGAGTGACGAAACGGCGAGCTTGTGGGGAAGCGGCATAGCAAGGAGCAAGAAGCAGGCTGGGTGTGAATGCTTCTGTGCACTCACGGGGCCCACACCACACAGCACGCACTGGCACACACCACTCACCAACACCACAGCACACTCACCGTCACCACAGCACACTCACCAACACCACAGCACACTCACCGTCACCACAGCACACTCACCGTCACCACAGCACACTCACCGTCACCACAGCACACTCACTGTCACCACAGCACACTCACTGTCACCACAGCACACTCACTGTCACCACAGCACACTCACTGTCACCACAGCACACTCACTGTCACCACAGCACACTCACCGGCACCACACTTGGTAGCGCCGCAGGCGGCCCCCAAGCAGGTCCAGCGGCACGACAGAGCGCTCCTCCCAGGGGCGCGTGACATTGGGGGGCGAGATGTCGGTGATGGGCAGGCTGTCACGCTCGCGGTAGAAGACGAGGCGTGGGCCCGGGCCGTAGATCATTGCCGGGCCCTTGGGGTCTGTGATGTCATACACCTCGAATGTGATGCTGGGGTCTGGGGGATGGCAGAGACATGCAGGGAGGGGAGGGGGCATGTCAAGGCAGAGGGAGTCAGGGAAAAAAGGAGAAGGGACTGATGAGAGGCAGGGAGGAAGAATTAGAGGAAAAGGGATGGCAGACAGGGTGAGAAAGGTTAGGTCTAAAAGGAAATATGATAGCTGCCCATCCGGTATACGTGAGCGTTGTAAGCATGTGGGTGCTTCAAGGGGCAGCAGTGGGTGCAGTGCAGTGCAGGACAGAAGGAGGTGAACAATTTTTGCAGCACCTGGCGAGAAGACGTTTTGCAGCACGTGGCGGGCGATGGACCCTAGGTCCACATTCGCCCCAGCTGCGCCCAGCACCGCCTCCTCCGCCTGCTGCTCCGTGGGATTCGGTGGCAGCGCATGCTGGAAGATGGGCAGCCCAACGGCTGCACCCAAGGGAGATGCAAGACAGACAGAGGTGAAGAGTACTGAAGTGGGGCTTATTGAAAGATGCAAGGAGAGAGGATTCGCAGTGTCGCGGAAATGGACGGCGTTGGCGAGGTTAGTAGGAAGAGGTGATGGGGGCCTGACTGACTGACCGAAGCCGGTGATGTTGAGAGAGAGGTCCGCGATGGGCACGACACGGCTGAAGACAATGTCGCCCGTCCTGCGCATGTAGGAGAGCTCTGCAGCCCCGCGCTGCATGAGGTCAATGAGCAAAATGATCCCCTGCCGGAAGGTGTGCAGCTCCAGCAGCTTGGGACAGTACATAGGCTCCTTCTGCCGTGGCGACAGTGTGGTGTCGAGAATGGGGCCGCCGTAGAACCTCTCGAAGGCAGGCCTGCGCACAGCAGCGGCGAGGGAGGTGGTGGCAAGCACATGGGAGGAAACCGGAGGCTTTGGCGGATTTGAGCAGGGGGCATGGGTGACGGACGGCAGGAGCAGAGGCGGTTTTGTGTGGAGCTGCTTGGAGAAACTGATTCGAGTGGTGGGAAAGAGTGCTCCCTTCTCACAGTGCTGTGATTCACTGACCTCTCTGCATCTGTGACGAAGAGGCACACCATGGCGCCCGTGTCCCCCGGTCGGGAATATTTGGTCTTGTTGAGGTAGGAGATCCAGCGCTGCTCCGTAAGGCACCTGTCCCACGTCCGGTTGCCGTGGCCCCTCGGGTTGCCCATCACCGACGCCAGCCCCGCCAGAGTCTGCCAAAGGTGGGCAGTTGGGTGTGTGTGGGGGGGGTGGCGTGCGGGTGACAGGAGGGGTGGAAGAGAGACAGCACGAGTCAGGTCGGAGCAACGTAGATGGGCTGGCAGACACTTCACCTCACTGCCGCGAAGTGATGCCATGGTGATGAATGTACTGCTATATCCATATGACACTACGAGACGCACACACCATTGTACATCTGTACCGTGCTGTGGAACCTAGAGCGAGCAAGCACGGATCTAATTGGAACCGGAAAGCCTGAATGTGCATCTTTGTGTGTTCAGCCCCCTGATGGCCTCAATCGCTAGAGACGGACAAACGTGCACTTACGTTTGATTCCGAGGTTGACAGCCATCTGCAGAGCACGTCAGCCGCATGTCGCGGGGGGTGGGAGGGCGAGAATGCAAAGCCCCTATTAATACGCCGGGCGCATCAGGTGCTGCTCCTAGTAGTACACAAGGGACTGCAGATGAAGAACGACCATCAGACTTTTGAGATTCACTCCACCACGCCGCGCTAGCAGTTCTTGCTGCTACTACCGGCTGGCTGGGGATGCTGGCGGCATTCTGGCCCCCTCTTATGGTATGAGGTGCGTTGAAAGCGCTCACCCGAATCTGGCTGACGGTGGTGAGCGTGTGCTGCTCGAAGAGCTTGGCGCGCTCGTAGCACCACGTGTCGAGGCGGCGGTAGCGATCGCCGAGGTACGTCGCGTGCGTCGAGTAGCAGAGCCACGCCGCGAACGCCACGCCCGAGAGCAGCCATAGCGCGAGAAGGACGGCGAAGACAGGGCCTGGCGGGAGTGGCAGACAGAGGCACAACGGACTCGCATTTGTACGATAGTACACCCAGAAGGATCGCCGCTTGCGAGCATGGACGGTGGGAAGGCAGGAGAACCGCATCTTTGGGTCATGAGAGCCAACTTGAAACCTCCGCCTGCCACAGCGGCGTGTATCGAACAACTTCGACACCTCGAGATGAGCCGTGGCATCAGCGGAGAAGAGAACAGGTTCTCACTAGTAGTAGTGAAACGAGCGGAGATTGGTGCGCGTTCGAAACACGAATTTCACGCTAAGTACTGCTTGTCTAAGCCTGACCTTGAGCTTACCTCGGAACACTACATTCTGGATCGCGCGTTTGCCGCAGGACAGAGACGACGAGCCCTTACTGTGCGAGCGGTGTAATTGCTTGCGGAGCGCGTGAAAATAAGACATTTCTAGAGCATACGCCGAAACAGTCTTCAATCAAACGTCACTTAGCATATTTGGTCAGTCTCGGCACTAGCAAGAAAAGACCCATCGTGGTTGAAGCAACCCTCAGGGCGTGTTACTCCATGTTTGGACCTCAGGTGATATCCCCATGCCCATCTATGATAAATTGAGTACGGGAAGAATGTACCACCACTGTGAACCTCGGGTCCATCCTTGATCACAAGCTTCTGGAGAGAGAGCAGGACAAATGTATTGTCATTGTATTTTCATGAAGTTGCTCCAAAATCGGACTTGTGAACTTCAAGACAAACATCGTTGAGTTCCTTCACGGACGATGAACCGAAATGCGATTGTCGCTAACCCCAGTGGTTAGCGACAATTCGTGGTACGTAGCACATGTGCAACCCGAAAACGATCCTTGCTAAATCGACCTCATTTCACATAAAGCACCCACCCTGAGCTGGCGCAGCAGTGACGCTGTAACTAACGAAATTCCCATATTCTTGCATTGTTCAATTCCAGAATCGTGCATCAGGGTTAGGGACTTCGGGTCGGGGAGGTGGACGGGATTCGCCGCCCATTATGGTGGGGTTCCAGTCCAAAAACGCCAAATTCTCCCATCCTAGAATGTCAGTTTGTTTTGAGTAAAGAAAACACTCTGAATCCGACGTGAAGTCTCGTACAGTCTCCCTAACCCACTGCCCTCGATGGGTTTGAGTTCTGATCTGACGTCCTTGTACGTATGTTCCGCAGTATCTCGTTCAGTATTCCATTTTCATATTTTCGGATTTCGCTGGTTCCAACTCATCGCCCCCAGATCGCGCGGGGGTGGAGGTGGTAGAACAATCTTTCAACACCATCAACTCCTCATTCAGCAGTAACGAAAACCGACAACTGTTTGTAACACACCGACAAGGGTTAGCATTCAAGAAATCCATGTTAGTGTATTCCCCGGTGATTTTACACGGGGGGAGTCTGAAACGTAAATGGAGCCTTCAAGGCAGACAAGATATGGTTTGGTTGGTCCTTCTAGGAAAGTCGGGATTATTCAAGCCAGGCTGGCGTCAATGGCGAGAAACCCACGTTCGGGCGGGACCAGTGCACCAGCAGCAAATCTGCGAAGCACGCATGCAAGCATTCATATTCATCTGAAGCTACATCTCCGCCACTATGTCAGAAGCTACACTTTCAAGTGAAGGTACAAGAAAGAAACATGCTCAGGGCGTGTCCAGCGTGTACGTTTACGGTTCGTTTACAGTTCATGACCCATGGCGCAAAACGATATCAAGCGGTTCAAATCTATTCGCAGTTTCCACCGTTTTTAACCGTGACGCAACAAGGTCAACCGCACAGGATGAACTGTAAACGTACGCGCTGGACCCGCCCTCAGTGAAACTACTCTAATACGGTATGTTTTTTTGCAGTCATTCAATGTCTCGGTTAGACGGAATGACGAAGGATAGTTTTATGTTTGCACATTGACGTAATACGATGAAGTCTGTATTACTTTCAGGTTCCACATAATCATCTGTAACTACGTCATTGCATCGTCTTGGCAAATTGAACTACCGTAATCAGGACCCAAATTTGGTTTTGGGCCACCCTAGCCTGTCCCGCCCGTGCACGGCACGTCCCACTCGCGCGCAGCTCCGTCCCACACGTATGCAGCATCGTCCCGCCCGCGCGCAGCTCTTACCTCTCGCGTGCAGGCTGTCCCGTCTGCGCGCAGCCCATCTCGCTCGAGCGCAGCCCGTCCCGCTCGCACGCGGCTCTTTTCTCCCGCGCGCAGCCCGTCTCGCCTGCGCGCTGCCAGTCCCGCTCGCGCGCAGCCTGTCCCGCCCGCTCGCGGCCCCCTCTGCCCATGCTACCCATCCCGTTCCACGCTGCCTCCGCTTCCCGCCCCGCCCCGTCCCGAGCACCAGCTGCCGCGATCGCACAGCAGCCCCACGACCCCTCGTTCCTTGGCCCCTCGTTCTAAGGCCCCACGGCCCCTCGTTCTCAGGCCCCTTGTCCCCTCGTTCTAAAGCCCCACGACCCCTCGTTTTAAGCCCTCGCAGCCCCTCGTTCCGAGGCCCCTTGGCTTTTCGTTCTTAGGCCCCAAGGCCCCTCGATCTAGGGCCACGCCTACTGCCGTTGGCTTGCCCCGTGTCGGCTGAAAGCCGTAGTTGACCTTCCTAGGGTAGATTAGGGTTAAAGCCAGGGTCTCAAGTAGACCAAGTGCTTTGCAGTCGATGAAAAAAGGGCCTATTGGACTGGTTTACGAATATGGGGCCAACGTTTGGTCCAATCGAGACTCGCCAAATTACCCACTTTTCGCCCAAGTGTTTTGCAGTTGCGCGACAAACCCGTACATGAGACCTTGGCTTGAATACTTGCCGTCTCTAGGCTAGCCCTTCTGGCTCTATCCGCCACTAGCTTCGGCCTTGCCCTTCTGGCTTTGCTCGTCCCCGGCTTCGTTCCTTCGTACCCATATCGCCCCTAGTCCGAGTACTAGCCATGACGACTCCTCGACCTCTCTGTTTCGATGCTGAGGGTAGGCGCTAGAGTTTCACACCTGGCTTCTACGCACCGAGCTGTACCTACAAAGTCAGTGCCAAGATGGTCACACGCTCTGGGAGCACGTCTCTGGTGACATGCGTTCGACGCCTCGCCCTCGTTACCTGCCTTAGGAGCCTACTGACGGCTCACAGTTCTGTTGGTGTGGCAACCCGAGACGCTGTGGCTCGTATCGCCCTCAGCAGCCTTCTCCTCGATTCTGAGGAGGCACACTTCAGCTAGGTCCGATCTGCCCAAGCCTGTTTCACTGCAATTAAGGCCCGTTACTATACTCCCTCCTCCGCCTCCCTCGGTCGCCTCTGTCAAAGATAGAACTGGAAGGATGAATGAGTAGAAACAAGCAGTACAAAGGAGCATATAGCAAGCCCTAAGAGGGTTATACCCTCTACAGCATAACTCAGTGTAACACCTAGACTAAACAAACAAACTATAACAATTATAGTTTGACACACCCCCATAGTCTAGGTGACGGTAGTCCTGTGGAAGGCAACACACAACCCAAGAGCAAGGGTCACAGGACCAGTCAGCAAGAACAAACAAAGGTCACAAGACCAGTTCACAAGAGCAAAGCAACTCTCGGGGTGGATCTCAAGATCACCACATAGTCTGAGAACAAGCAAGGGGCCACAAGGCCAGTCCACATGCAAGTGTATAGCAGATATAAGAGATTCAAGAGTACAAACATGCATGGCAAGCATCTCTACAGAAGCAAGGGGCCACAAGGCCTATCAACAAGCACAGATATAGGATATATAGTGCGATGCAAGAGTACAAGACAAAACATCTCTACACAAGCAAGTGAGGGCCTGTAGACACAAGGCTAATCTGGGTGCAGAAACACTAGTGGTCACAAGGCGGCAACGCCTTGGTGAAGATATCTGCTGTGTTGGCCTCAGAGACCACACGTCGAACGAGTGCCGGACCACACTGCTGCAACTCTCGCAGAAGGAAGTAACGAAGCTGGATGTGCTTCGCCTTCCCAACCAGTCGGGGCTCCTCGCACAACAGGATAGTAGACCTGTTGTCGGCGAACAAGACTGGGGGAGCGCGAGGCCGCTCACCAAGGTCGGTGAGGAAGAAAGACAGCCAGCGAAGCTCCTGGGCGGCCATGGCCGCAGCGTACACCTCTGCCTCACTGCTGAAACTGGAGACGGACGACGCCCGAGTCGACCTCCACGAAACAACTCCGGTCCCAAGGCTGAAGCAGTAACCCTGTGTAGACCACAGCGACTCAGCATCGTCGGCCCACGACAAGTCTGAGAAACCTGTAAGTGTAACTGGCTGCTTCCCTTCAAGGACAAGTCCCATGCCTGATGTACTCGCCACATACTTCGCCACCTTCTTAGCAACGTACCAGTGGGAAGGTCGGTGTCTCCCAGGCGCAACAAAGTGCGCAAGGACGCTAAGAGGGTAAGCTAGGTCTGGGCGAGTACATGTCATCAGGTACATGAGACAATCCACCAGCAAAGGATATAGACCACTGGACTCAAATGGCTCGTCCGTAGGTGGAGCCGTGAGCCCATGGTCCACAGCAAGAGGGGTGGGCTGTACCTTGGAGAACGGGAAGCGGAACTGCGTGAGGATCTGCTCAACCATATGCGACTACGTCACCGTAATGGTGCGAGCTGCCCTGTCCCTAGTGATCTGCAGGCCAAGGTAGCGCTGTAGCTCACCAAGGTCAGTGCAAGTGTGACTCCTCTGCAGTTCCTCCATCACGGAGGCCAGTGCGCGTCGGTCGGGAGTGGCGAAGACCAGGTCGTCAACGTAGACCATAACAAAGAACGGGGTCGAGCCGCAGCGTACGAATAACGACGGGTCAGCAGACGACGGAAATAAGTCAAGCGCTGCAAGTGTCATGCGAAGTGTGTCGTGCCACTCACGGGGAGCCTGTCGCAGGCCGTAGACCGGTCGACGCAGCTGCCACTGGGTCCCAGGTGGGAAAGAGCCAGTTAAGCCAGGCGGACGACGCAGCCAGATCTGCTCGTGTAGGCTCCCCTGTAGGAACGCTGTGGAGAAGTCCAAGGAGTGTAACTCGTAGTCGCGCTGAGCTGCGATATGCAGCAACACCCAAAGAGTGGTCATCTTCGGGGTGGGAGCGAAGGTCTGGAAGAAGTCTACCCCCTCGCGCTGACTAA